GACTTGATTTGCATGAGGGCCAACATCTGGATATTTGTCACATCCCGAGTCTTAACTGAAGTTAACCATTTACTTTTAATGTGCACAAGAGAAAGGAGCATAAATACTAAAAAGAAGCCAGCCAGCCAGCCATCAGGCCGGCCGGCCAGAGGATTTGTACCCAATCCAAATGCTTTGCACCAGGAACAATCAGGGTCATATACAATAAAGCAGCCCAAAGTGTGTCTGAAAATCAGACGAGGGGAAGGGAGAACTAAAAACAATCCAAAAACTATAGAAGTGGCCAAACCTTAGATGAACAAAGAAGTAAACGTCTGTCTGAATCTGTGTACTCCACATCCATCTACTTTTTTTTGGATGATACAGTGGGACATATCAACCAGCACAAAGAATAAACTATATTGATTAGGATCTGACTCACACCTTACAGATAACATTATATAATTTGAGGAACAAAAGGCAAATATATTGCTGCAGTCTCTACAATTCAACATTCTAAACTTCTACATAAAACTTGTCAGTTGTCCCCTGGTGTTAACGCCCATCTCTACTATGACGTCTCACCGTTTGGTTTTTTTCATAGACTCCTATTAACACTGCTGTCCTTTTACCCCCCTCCACCCTTACACCCGCCCACTCTCCGCTCCCCTCTTATTGCAGCCGCACTTAACCTCCTCTTTTCTCCTGCTACGCCTCACTCCAAGCCCCTTACATCGCCTCTCATAAACAATGTGTGGAGACAAATGAAAGTAAACGGAGGGGTGTGTGTGTGTGTGGGGGGGGGTCCGAGGGGGCAGGAGAGACATCCTATTAAAAGCGCAGTGCATTCACAGTCTCTTCAGATGACATAACAGCTTGGTGTCAGTGGAGCAGTCGTCCTGTGGAGGACAAGTTTCTGAGGGTCTTGGCTGACGATGCAGCTCAGACACAGGACTTTTTCCAGAATCTTGGTGTACAACTCTCATACCTCCTACACCACCTCCTCCTCTTCCTCCTCTTCGTCCTCCTCCTCTCTTCCTTTGCTACAGCCACCAGCCCACCTTTCCCTCCCTCCCCTTTCTCTCCCTCTCATCCTCCTCTCTCTCTCTCTCTCTCTCTCTCTCTTACACACACACACACAGCTACACTCAATCACGAATGCACAGGGATTGCAGCAACAGCAGCAGCAGCAGCACTGCGAGATGGAGATCTCCGCTGCTTGCGTGAGCGCCCATTCCTGGTGAGTGCAGGGACGAGAGAGAACGAGAGTGTCAGTGATGTTTGAATAAGGTGCAGAGGGGAGCGGGGTGGGATGGGGTCTGATCAGAGGGAGATGTCAGTGCAGTCAGCCTGAGTACAGGGGATTTATGGCAATTTCTTGTCTGCTCTCACCCCATTTCGACCCTACACACTGAATCTATGTGTCACAACTCCTCCAGCTGTCAGTGCACCGGCCGCCTCTCTGTTGGTCTTCCCGCAGCTGCCAGTGAGAGCTGCTCCAGTGACTGGACAGTACCCTGGCTCCCACTGACTACATGGATGAACGCCGGCCCATATCTGCCATTTCTTGTCCTTTCCACCTCTAATCTGTTCCTCAAGGTAAGAGTTGTACTTCCTTCCCCTTTTTTGGGTAGGGGGTGGGGTGGGAGGGGGGGTTGCACACATACTGCATGCTCAGTTCTTTCAAATGGAGTTGGATGATTGATATGCTGTAAAAGCCCTCTCCTAGTCCTGGTGGATCTCTGAACCACAAATGGATTATGACCAAAAAAAAAAAAAATCATGTAAAAGTCCCACACACGTTTATGATGCCTGCATGAAAGACAGACAAATAAGGGAGGGGGCATTTCTGCATTCTAGCTTTGGGCAGATTTTCTCTATTTTGTGTCAGAGAAATTCAAACTCTAATAATATAAATTCTGTTGTGATGTTCTTTTGATTAACACACCTCTCTGTCAGATGTACAGTTTTTAATCTGAGGCAGAGCGATGATTACAGCAGTGAAGTCAGAATTTTGACGGGTGCTTACTAATACTCTCTTAATTATTGCAAGTGATGATGGAAGAGCGCAGCGTTGATCACTGATTGCACGCGAAATAGGTGATGCAGCCCTCAAGGTGCGTTATGATGCAAAGGATTCCGACTGATCACGAACAGGGCACTGCATCACGTAGAGATACAGAGCTGTACTTATATATGCTCTCAGCTTCTCTCTCCTCCCTTCCTCCTCCCCTCTCTCTCTCTTTCTCTCTCTCTCACTCTCCTCTCTCCCCCCTCTGTTTCCGACACATCATTCTTTGACTACCTTAATTTAGCAGGAAAAAGACAGGGCACAGCTTTGAGCTGCAAACACTCTGTTACCTGTCTGTCACAGCACCCTGTACACTTTGTTAGACCGTCTTCTACATTTCACACAAGTTAATCATCTGGTCGCCCCGTTTCTGCCTGTGTCAGTCACAGTGGTGATGGACTGAAGTCCACTAACTGTCTGTGTTTGTTTNNNNAGCTCGCCCTCATCCCTCTATTCCATGCATCTAATCCATTACATTCTGTCTAAACTTTTCCAAGAATACAATTCACAGCCAGGACTGGAGCCTTTTAAAAACCCTCTCCAGCTTTTCCCCCGCAACAAAAAAAGTGCTGCTCAGTGATAAATCTTTTAAGCCAATGTCATAAAGCAAACTTTCACAGGAGTAGCCTGCAGCACGGATAGATACAGATAGCTCTCAATGACAACCCGGATGTGGACAGTCTCTCGCTCTCTCTCACCCCTCTCTCTCACCCCTCTCTCCCCTTCACTCTCTTTCTCTGCATCTGTGTCTTTATGTATATTCATAGCATATAAAACAAAACAAAACAAAAAAAAACATCTGTTGTTAACATGAATAACAGAGGGACTGGTCAAAGCATCATGGCTAAAACAACTTGACTGCATCAAAATGTCAACCATTTAAACAACTGTGTAAAACTATCATCACTGTTAATGCAGGAATGGAATAACTGCAGAGATGACATTACTGAGTCTGAAATTGTAGCATCAAAAACAGACCAGTCACTGGAGAACTGTGCAGAAATAAACTGCAAGTTTGCACCAAGGAAAGAAACACTTTTTGTTTCATTGTCTGGTCAAACACCAAGACGGCAAGACTTAAACCATAAAACTGAATTAAACAAACTTAATTTAATATAGTTGACTGGTCGACTGAAGGACTTCTTAAGAAATCTTTAGAGTGGAGACCAACAGCTCTGGCAAAACTAGGGATTCACTTAGGAACAATGGGAAGGAAATACCTGGCTTCACTGAATTACTGCAGGCTGTTAGCCAGGGTACACAACGACTAACAGGGTTGTGGGTAAAAAGAGAAAAAAAAATCTGTTGTTAACATGAATAACAAATATTTTATAAAAATATATCCATATATCCAATATATTCCCATATGATATACTGTCTCCAGGTCTGTACATTCTTGACCTCTGATGTTGGTCACATGCTCAGACCATTTAATACATAGCTACTTATTGATCTATAGCAGGGGTCTCAAACTCAAATGAGCTGAGGGCTATTACTGCCACCATCATGTTCAGTGTCTGATGTTCAATTTTTGGAAAAAAAAAATGAAGAAACATTTTTTATATAAATACTGCATAATACAGCAGTGCAAATACTGGTAGTGGTGGATGCTGAAGAAGGTGATGTCATTAACAGATACTTAAACTGATCTATTAAGCACTGATGCAGTAACAGACTTAAGAGAATCAATAATGCAAAATGACACAGTCCTTCAATGTCATATTTGAAGACTCGTCGTTACACTGACTCATTCAAAGAGGAAACACCATAAAGGTTAGCACTAATGGTTAACAAAGTGATGGAATCACATACCTACGCACGGTCACACACTCTAATGTAATTCAATGCAAATTTATGAGAGGAATTTCCATTTGCAAAATGGACACGCTGTACTGTATACAGGACACAGGGATGACGAGCTCACGCATTAGCTGGCGGTATAATGAGGGTGGGAGCAGCCGACGGCAGGACAGCCCCTGTCGTAGCACGCGCTGCTGAAACGTGGAGCTGTGTCATTGAAGAACATGCTGCGTTTGCGATACATTCAGTCGGACACGGAGCAGCAGCAGCGGCGGCGGTGGCAGCGGAGGTCGGTGTGTTTGACGAGCGTGGGGCCGTGCTGTAATAACATCACTTCACCATTAACGAGAGTGCCTATGTGTTATACAATGCACATATCCTACAAATGCACTTCAGTAATTATAATGCCGATGAAGTCCGACAAGGATGAAAGGTGGGATAAGCTTTCCCTTTCTCTATCCTCAGCTTAGCAATGATGCATAAGTCATGAGTCAGCAGTATTTGCTACCTGATCTGGCTCAGAAAAAGGTAATAAATCCACTGTTAACATTCGTTTTAACAAACAGACGTTTTTGAAAGCGCTGCGATCAGATTCATGAAGCCATCATGTTCTTTCCTCCCTCTCTCTCACACAGCCAGCATTTTAGTACGAGGAACAGAAGGGCAATTGGAAGAGACATCCTAGTCTGCTCGGATGCATAAGAAGATTTTAAAGGATTACTTTTGTAATTTTGGAGTCAGTGCATTATTCATAATCCCTGGTATGGATGAGGCCAGACCCGAGGTCTTTAGCACGTAGAGACGTAGTCTGTTTTTAGAGAAGCAGAAACAGAAGCAGGAGGAAGAAGGAAGACGACAACGAGGCAAAGCCTATTTTCATTCCACTATCAGAATATTTGTCCCAAGATATCTCTGCTCTCACTCCTTCACTCCCTCTTTTTGCCTCCCTCTGCTTGACTTTCAATATGTGCTGGGAAGCTTTTCGCGATATCTATTGTGTGAATTACCGTCAAGTTGCATTACACGCCTCGCACTGTACACGTGACGTCACAGCTGATTGTGCTAGCACGGAGGAGAGATCTGTTTGTGATAACCTTTTTCAGAGGTGATTGATTAGTACTGCAGATTGTGTAAAAACATGCAAACTGACCTGGAGCAACGTCTTCTTATCTGTGAAACCACTTCAGACAAACAAACTCGTCTGCAAAAAAAAGTGATAATCAGGCTTTAGAACAACGAAGGAATTCAGTCCAAAGAAAATCGTCTTCCACTTAGCATCGGCACCATGTGGGATGATGATTAATATTTGTAAATAGATCAAATTCAATCTGACTTGATGACCAGTACATCCAATCAGTCGGTTAAATAAAGAAAAACTTGCGATAAATGACATGTCAGAAAATCCAGTTGAAGCCAGCTTGACCTGCCCCACCTGTGTAATAAATGATGGATGGACGGACGTTTTAAAGGAGAACATTAATAATTGAGATTTCCTTCCTACAGAGTGTATCAGTTTTACAGTACAGTAGACTTGATATATGATAGAAGTAATGTGTGTGTTTGTGTTTATGAATAGTTTACAACGGTGCAGCAATAAATGATTCAATGGTGTTTACATTCCCCATTCATACTGCCTTACATAAAACTGATTAACCAGCCTTGTCTCTTGTTTCTCTTTCCAACCATATTAGACATCATTTCATTTCCTTGTTCTGCTTTATATATTTCACACACCAGCTGTGAAATGTGTTTCATCACAGATGATACGGAAAATCAAATAAATCTCATTGGAATATATTGTATTTCATTCAAAGGTCTGCACGGGGACTGACTTAACAGGGTTTCCTTGTGGTGTGAAAGTGGATTTACTAAATTTATGGCATTTGTAAATTAATACAGAATAAACATAAATCCAGCAGTGCTGTGTAGAACTTGCACTCGAGCAAGAGAAATTAATGTTGAAAATGTATGTAAGGCCTGTAAATAAAGCATGGCTTAAAAAGAAGAATGTTCAGAGGATTGTTATGAGTAACAATCTTGAGACTTAATAAAATATTAGAGTTGTACAGAGCAATGAAGGCTTTTATTAGAGTGCTATAAAATCATACCGGGTAATTGAAAATGATCAAAAGACGAACCATATTTCACATAAACAACATATTTATAGTTTGACCAAAGGCATTTGCATTACTATTATTCTAATTATTGATATAACTTGTTTATTATTACAAAACCTACATTAGAAAAGTGATTTTATTTCTGTGGTGTTGCAGCTTTACCTCAGTCTACACCAGCGGTTCCCCAACTTTCCTGGCTGCGCAGCCCGTTCTATATCCCCAATTTTCCTCACCTTCAGAAAAAGAAAGAAAAAAAAAGCAACTCGTCAAACTGACCAGAACACATATAGAACACATATATATAGTCTGCATTTATTTATAAAGCAGAATGTCAGCTTATGATTTTAAATTTGACAAAGGAAATGTTTAGCTTCAAAACCAGTAACATATCTCACACAGCCCCTAGTGGCAGCTAGCGCCCCCACCAGCGCACTTTGGGAATGCCGCACCTACACTATGTGGCTATACAGTATGTTTCTTTAAACTACCAGAAGGACTTACAAAGGACGTTGAACCTGCTTGGAACTGCTTTATTCCATGTGCACACAGACACACATTATAAAGGCTGGCAGTAACACAACACAATGAAAGCAGCTGTGTGCAGTACATTACCACTCCATACCAGAGTAAACAGCACAGCCCAATCTCAATTTTACTCCGCACTGTAGTCACTGTCGATTCAGTCAAAACTGTGCGTTCACGTGTGGCGTGGGCTGCACTTTGTGGTTTAATGTGGTAACCTTGTTCCCACTCTGATGTTTGTTTGTTTTTTATGATAACTGCGACTGCACTTATTATGCAACCAGATCTATCCTGTGGTCCAGATGTAGGGTTTATATGCTGCTGTCTGTGCTGCTCAGCTGCCTCTGCCCAGACGCAGACCTGTCATGATGACAATTATAATAATACATTTTCCTCTAGAGGCTTCGGAGTCGCTGCCCACAGATGTACACTCGTGGAGAAGCCTGGTATTGGCTATTAGGTGAAGTCTGGTGTGAGCCCCAGCTGCATGTGTGGTCATTCTGTCTGCTGTGTGCCACGGCAGAGAGGGACTTTATTACTGTAAACACCTATTGGGCCTAACAATAACCACGCTACAGCCATGGCGCTACAAAACACCTGCAACCATTGAGTGGAAAATACTTTACGTTAAGGAATGTTAAAGCAGTGCAGATGCAGCAAATCTTGTAGATGGCATTAAATGCAGCAGAGAGTATCACTGCGGTACAGAGGCAGGGGGTACGACATTTTTAAACGCAGTTATGATATGAGGCTCAGCTCAGCCGTCACATGAGCCTGGGTGAGGTGAACTGTTTTACTGGGAAATGGTTGAATATGTGCAGAACATTTCCTGTGATGGTAATTCAGGGTCATGTTAAAAGCCGTGGAGCAACAACCAGCAACTGGCAGGCCACAGGCTGCAGTCGGCCCACTGAACCGTCCAAACTGGCACTGAGATTTGGAGTCATTTAATAAAAGCTGAAACTGAATAAAATAAAAGTGGTACTAAGGAAATTGAGTTCACGTTTAAATTAGGGATTTCACAACACGCACACACATTGGGTATGAAATAAATATATTGTCGACAAAGAAATATTACCTGCTTTCTCAAGTCTGCGCTTCAACTCGTTCATCATCTCTTCTTCTGTTTTAACAGCAGCTCTAAGTCCATTCTGTTGCAATACCGCCATCTATTGGATGTTGTTTCGAGCGGTCATTCCACTTGATTTGTCCTGACCACCTGCAGAAAAGGAACAAAAATTCATAAGAAAAAATGTTTGATGATGATGATGATCTGTACTGTCTTATGTGCTACCACTAAACCAGATGGTGTATTTTTCTGTACTGTCTTATGTACTACCACTAAACCAGATGGTGTATTTTTTGTGTGATTTTCTACTATTTCCTATGTTACAGGAAATATGGTGAGCAAGGAAGACACCAAATGTGTTTTCTCAAACTCCGATGATTCAGACTCCGAGGCGGGATTATCACAGTCTGAAGCTGAATCTGGCAAGCACCAGGTGAAGAAGAGGAACAAGACTGTACAAGTGCGCTTCCAAGATATCTGTGAAGCTCAGAATGTGTTTTATGGTAGACATTCCAGATCGATTTCCTGTAAAGTGACACACAGACGATATATGACCATGCCTGCCAGACGCACTATTCCAAACGTGACCAAGAGCACTGGTGTCCAGACCTCGCCAGATCTCACAAAGTGGTATAAGACTTTTCCTATGGACAGGAAAAAGGGTCACACGTTCAAGCATACTGCCTTGGTGGAAGATTACAAGGGACACAACAATGGGTTTTTGAGTGACGTTAAGGTAGCAGACGAGGATGGACGACTTATGGGGGAGAGCTCTCAGTACAAGGGAAGGATTGTGGGACAGACCAAAGCGTTGCTTCACCACACTGATGAAAGCAGCGATACAGAGGATTTGCTCTCCAGCAACAACTGTCTGGACGAGCCCTCGTGCCCTGAGTCACATTTGTCCGAAGAGGGTCATCCCTGCAGCCCTCCTTCCCAAAGTGAGTACCAGGTATGTGGAACAGGGAGTAAACAAAAGGGATTACCCGCAGAAGGCAGGGACGCAGCCACGTCCTCAAAGAGACAGCTGGCTAAGTCAGGGTTTCTGCAGGACAAGTCCGTGAGCGCAGGCCCCGGGTCGTGGAATACTTTGACACAGCTGGAGTCTTTAGGAAGTCCCTCTGTGAACTGTAAAAGGAAAAAAGGCTCACAGCTAAATGAACAGCAGTCACAGACCCTCCCACACAGCGCTAAATGCTCCGTGCAGTCGCAAGGGCCCTGTCGGACAAGGCACGTGTCAGCCACCACCAAACTCTATCAAACAGTTGGAAAGAGTCAGGACTTTGCTCCGGCAGATCAAGGAGCTGCAGGTATGGGGAGCAGCCAGCGGATATTGTCCTCATCTGAAGACAAGGACATCAAAGCTCAGCTGCAGGCCATGGAGAACCTCATCAGCTCGAGCCAGGAAACCATCAAGGTACTACTGGGAGTTATTCAGGAGCTGGAGAAGGGTGAAGCACAGAGAGAGGGGTGAGTACGGAAACTTGCAACCGGCATGCAAATAAACACACTGTACAACATACTTCAATCCTCACCCTTTATTTTCAAATATTTATTTATTTTAATGATATGTATGACTAACTTTTTTCTTGGCGTCAGATGGATTAAGGAAGTAGTTCCCAACTTTTTTTGCCCCGTGACCACATCAATATATTTCTTGTACTATGCTGCAAATACAGAGTAGCCAGTACACGTGGACACGTGTTGATATGTACACATAGTGTGGCAGAGAATTTCTGTTTCATGAATCACTTTCTGTTTATGATATCATCTCACAATCAGCATGGGTAGAGGCTCCAACTTCAGGTCAAATGCTCAGCTTGCAGCACACTGACCTCTCATAGCGCAGGGCAGTAAATAAATGGCTGACAGCTGACAAATGAGCCAAATTGATTCAAAGGGACTGTGGACTAATTCATTCTGTTGAAGACAACTGCTTCACTAGTGTTCACTAGTGTTGAAAGCAAGTCCAAGTCTAAATGTACAGTAATAACTAAAATCCATTTACTAAGTGAAGCTAAATTTTAAGTTAGACTTTTGTATCTTGTTCATGACATTCTTTTATTCTATTAATTCCATCATTTTAATTAGTCACAAATAGGAACAGGGGTGGAACACATACATCCACCTGCTGTTACTGGTAGTTCCAGCAGTTTACTAAGGGGAAAAGAATATCAATGTTGATTATCCAGATTAACCATAACTAATCATCAGTTACAAGCACAATTAATCATGATTAATCGTAATTAAGCCACAGTTACCACATCATTAATTCGATTTTTTTAAATGCATTATTTAAAAAACCTATACAATATAATACTAATAAAAATATAATACTAAAATTAATTTGTCTTCAACCTGATCCATCTTCTTTCAATGTTCTATATGAGACTGTGTTAAACTGTACTTTACTCCTTATGGTCCTTATACTGTAGTACTTGTGAATATCATTCAAATTGTTACATCACACCACCACATGCAGTACCCAACAAGATAATGACATTTGTTATGTCTTTCTTCATAGGTTTTTACATTCTATTTTTGTTATTCATTATTCAACTGACGTAAAGCTCTCAAGAGAAAGGTCGTGGTACAGTCACAAAGGCTGTGTCTGTGCAAACGATCACAATTAATGAACGCCCAGTGTCGTCCATATACCGTACTATATACTGTCTTACTGGGTGATTGCAAAAAATCATTTATATAAAAGTTACTTTCTTTAGTTTTCAATACTAAAGTGTGCCTCAAAATTATTTTTATAGTAACAGAATAATTGTTTTTTTAATCCAAAAATTGTATCCAGAGTGTCACTCCTGCAGTGAGTATTTAGTAGAAATAGTCAAGTATTTCATATGAAAATCCCACAGGAACGTGAAACACATTGTATTTGTCACTGAATCAAATCCTGTGGAATACGACGCAGGCTCAGTGGTGCTGGGCTTTAAAAGACCAATTAGCTGCACCTGATAACAACGCTGCTGTCATCTCCAAAAACCACTGAGTTCCTCAACTCTGTCGTGTACCTCCTGTGTTATTAGGAGAGCAGCGGTGGGACACAACACATTCCTCTTCTTTGTAGCGATTCACTTCATCTGAACACTTTCCGTTTTTGATTGGCTGGGCTGCCACGGAGGTGCCTTTGAAGCTACGTACGCTTTCAGATGAACACAAAACTCACTACTACAACAAAATTCAAAAATTAATCAGAAAATATAATCCTATTCATCCAGCAGTTTTGGGGGGAGTTTTGTACGATTTTGTATTGGAAATAACCACACTACTTATTTTTCTGATTTTGTCAAATTGTACTAGCTGTCTCTTTCATGTGAATACTATATTCCAAGAACTTTACGCATTTACACCTACAGCCTGGTCCTTTATCACGTCTTAGCAAGGAACTCTATGCCAAGTGTTTTGTATCACTGTGTGATAGCTGAAGATTTTGAAGCAGATTATGGCAACAGAGCTGAAGGTGACTGTGCAAAGCACGCTCTCTGTGCCAAGAAGCAGCTGGGTGCAGTTTCATGCAGGCTCAGCAAAAAAAAACACGTCTAAGATCCAGGACAAACGAATCAACTAATTTTAGCCACTTAAAAATACATTTAACTAATTAAATGTACATAAGCATACGTATATCTATCTCAACTGAATGGTAGTGCTTTCACATGTTTCCTAAAGGCAGCCATTTCTAACAGAATTACCCAAGCTTGACTCTCTCTTTGTAGACCATGCACTCGCCTGCACCAAACTCCATTAAGAAGAACGGCAATTTAAGACTGGAGAGAGCTGCACTTGTGTTGTTTTGTGTTCGGCTGGTAAAAGGATGTAATCTACTGGACTTCAATTTCCTGAACAAAAGACAAAATGTGCACTTTTTAACACGAGGTGTCCACAATGTTTTGGCTTGGCACCTACAATTCGAATAACCAGATTCAAATGACCTACTTATACTTATTTCCGACAAAAATAACAATTGAAAATGATGATTGATGAATATTTAAGAGCCTGTGGTAAGATGGTATTACCCCGGTGGTAACAGCTGGTATTACAGTATGGTACTCCAACATGTTCTTATAGTCCAAAACAAAAACATAAGGTAAACTGACCAAAGTGTGTGAGTGTGAGTGAGAATCCTGGATTTAGCCCAGCATTGGAGTGTACCTCACCCTCGTCCAACGACTTCTGAGATTGACTCCAGCCCTCCCATATACCTGAAAAAGATCAAGAATTAGAAGTCTGTTTAATTAACAATTAAAAAAATTGATGCCAGCATTAGACTCGTCAAAGCCAGGAGAAAGGAAATAGACTTTAGCTCTCAGGCAGGTCTGGAAGCAGGCGCACAGTCGGGGGTGGGGGGTGGACGGTAAAAGGAGAATGATGGGGACAGGACATATCAGCAGACAGCTGACACCGACAAACAACACAGCAGTGAATCTTTGTCAATGGTCAGCCTTTTTTTTTTTGTAAAGTCACCGTTTATAAAACTCTCCTCTTCACTGATTTCTGAACATCTTACTCTTAGGGTCAAATAATTGCTGTAAATATGTGAAAAACAAATGTGCTCTGATTACTGATAGAGAGAGTATGTGATGAGCCCGGGCCGAACAAAAGCACCAGACCAAAGCCTATCGGTGCGGTGAGTTACTGTCCTTGCTCACAGCTGCTCAGAGGCTTCATTTGGAAAGCAGGGCAGGACAGATGAACTTGTTGACTTTGAGCTCCCATCAGCATTTTCGATCCGTACTGTTTCCCCCCCTGCGAGGTCACCTCTGGTGTCACCGCGAAAGCTGAGGTCCAACACCTCCACATGCCATCCATCAGGTTGAAGGGCTACAGCGGCAGCAAGCAATTACATGTGCGGCGTTAACACACACACACACACACACACAACCCTTCCCCCCTCAGTCCCTTACAACACTGCACGCTGTGACAGGAAGCCCGAGCAGCGTTACACATAGCACTGTATCGTGAACTCACCTGAAGAATTACAGAAGAAAAGTAGTGACTCTACCTCTGTATTGCCACATACAAGAAGATAAGTAGGCATGCCTTACAGTGAGAGGGTCACCTGTTTGATCCCAGGTGGCAACTGATTCTCTGTCTATATCTAATCTGCATGTTTGCATGTGTGCTAGGTTTTCTCTTGGTACTCCTGTTTTAGGAGTACTCCTCCCAGTACTCCTAAAATTAATGTATGGAGAGTTACATGCTCATTGTGTCTGTAGTTGGTCTTCCATCAATGTTTCGTCATAAACTGCTTGTGGACTGTTGACTCAGCTTCACTTCACTAATGTGTGCCCTTTGACCTCTGCAAAAGTTTTTGTGGAGATCTTCTGGATTATAGTGTGTGCCCTTTGACCTCTGCAAAGGTTTTTGTGGAGATCTTCTGGATTATAGAATAAACTGCTGTTAATGTTGAAATACTGTATATCACTGTTACACAGGAAGGGATTGAACTGTGTTTTTTTTGGACTAACTTTAATTTGATTGGCAGATTTTTCGATCTATCACCTGTTTTAGTGGTGTATAGAAACGTTTAAATTCCCAATATTTGCATTATTTTCGTGATAAAACAAGCATTTTTTTAGCCTAACAAAAAAAAGTAACCTTTTTGCCATTCTCCATGCCCTACGATTCGTAAAGAGTTAAAATATATGCGTAAATAATATAATAATTTAACGTGTCTCTACTTTGCAGTTTTTCCCCTATCGCGGGGGGGTATGGGAACGTAACCCCTGCGATACACGAGGGACCCCTGTATAGCTTTTCATTACATGTAATTCAACCAAAAATTTCTTTCAATTTAACACCTTGTTCCCTTTAAAATAAGGACACGAATATCTACACCCAGACCAAACAAGGTAATCCAATCTCGTGTGTAAAATCAGCACTAGCACGCACATGATTAGTTAATTCTAACAGAGCTGCAGGAGAAGAACCCCCGCCGAACATTCAACAGTAAGGTATAAACAACGCTGTGTGAGAAACCATGCTGAGTAAATCTGGCACAGACACAGAGGTAGTGAAAACATAAAACCTGAGCCTGTCTCTGAAGACCCCATGTATCTTTTCATCTCTCCTTCCACAGGCTCACGTACCGAACAGGACAAGACACAGCAAACTGTGACACCTGTCGAAACAGCGCATGCATCATTTACAGGTGGGCACCATTCACTGGCACTGTTGTTAAATGCTGTGTGATGAATTTCTGTGATGAATTGCATGGATGTAAAAAAAAGTTTTGTTTTTCTTGTCATTGTTATTCACTGCATTGGCAGAAAAAGCCAACTTACAGCATATTGAAATATACCTTATTATACAGGAAATGGGCCTAATTTGTCTAGGGGTAGGTTATGCTGACGAAAATAAAATAACTTGTGCATTTGAAATTGTCCGTAAGGTAACTGCACTTTAACTTACGTCTGTAATTACTTTACTTTGAAGTTTTACTTCTTTTTTTGCATTTGAAGGAAGTAATTCAGTTAACTGTAAATTAGGTTTTCTCTAGAAGAGTTGGAACCGCTGATTGTGTTTCCTTCAAAGTTCCGTGCAGCCAATTAAAATTATTTATTTATATTTCTTAATTAATTACTATACAGTAAAATATTGCAATTGTTGCCTCATTAGCTTGATAGACAGGAACAACAGCAATTTGCATACTGCATAAAACAAATGCATTAATAAACATCAGCATACATTAATTGCATCTATTTTCTTCACTCACTACTACAGAGGTCCGCTTAGCGTTAGCCACTTAGCACACACGTCACACTCTCACTTAACCTCAAAACCCCGTCAAGGTTACTTTAACTCGTGTGTACACAGCTAATGACTAAGACACATATTGATCTCATAACATATAGTATATAGTACACTTGACTGGGTGTATATTTACTGACCTGGGGTAAGAATAAAGGAGATACACGCTTTGCTGGTGTTATCATCTCGACAGCAGGATTTATTCTTCCTGTGTTCGCGTAAATCCCATACGAACCAAAATATGCTGCCCCATCTAGTGGCCTAGCATGTCATAGCAATGTAGTGATGTGAGTACAAACGAATAAATAAATGAAATGAAATATATATATTAAATATATAGTAAGTTTTTCTCTTCTGCTATGGTTTCTACATTTACTTATTATTTCCAACCGGTTTGTTTGTTTTGTTTTTATTCTTATTGTAGGCAGCTAGCATCACCGCTAGTGGCAAAGGCCTACTTTAGAATTAATCTGGGCTAATAGATAGCAGGACGTTTAATTATTTAAATGAAATATTGATTTGCCGCTTTAATTTATTGTCAAATGATCAGTAATTGGGTTTAGAAAAGCCCAGACAAGCCCTTTTTGAGGAACAAAGAGAGAGGAGAGAGATAAATAGTGCAGTAGTATATATATATATATATACTGTATATATATATGCTGTGACTCAGCAGCCTTTTTGTGGTGATTCAGCAAAGTGCCTCACAAACATCGTGCCATTTTTTCTCCAATTTTTTCACAATATTTAAGAAAGTCCGTATGAATATTTTTTCTCAAATAAAACATGTGCCATAAGGATGAGCAACGTGCCGCACTCAGCTGATTTGACTGGTTTCACAGAAGGTTGTGCATATTTCATGATGCTGTCAAACACCGAGGTTGGGAGTCTGTTGGTCCTTTTTCCACCACACATCTGTTTTGTACTACACTGTTTTTAGGGAAGGCCACGAACATAAGAAAACACAACAGAGTGAACGTATATAATTTAATTATTATATCTATAATGTAAATATAATTGCATTATAGACCCACTATGCAGGACTTTTGGTGTTTTTAAATGTCTTCACTTCCCTTGCTCTTTGGTTGTTTGTGTCCCACTGTCAAATGTCTACCAAAACCTCCAGGGTGTATTATAAGTACACAAAGAAAGAGAACATAAAATCATAATTTTACATCCTAATAGTAACTATAATATATTCAAAAGATGCAAATGTTTAAAAAAAAAAGATTGGTCCTAAATGTATGCATTCTCTTTGTATATGTTGATCTTTTGTGTACAGCGGGCACTGCAGTGTGTGCATGTGTGTGTTGGTTGTTAACAGGACTTTAATGTAGGTGTTTTTATAGGTCCAGTGATTGCTCTGAGGTGTCGGGGAATATTTAAAACTATGTATAGACTAAAAGCAGCAACACGAATGTTTTTTTATTTTTTTATTGTGCACTGCTGAGCATACCATTAGGTTTATTCTGCTCTGGATGAGTTGCATCAAGGAAAGCAATTTTTTTTAACAGAGGCAAACAGTCTTTGGAAATTTTTCTCATTCGGCACCATAGCGTGTCTGCAAATGTCAATACCTGCCTGACAAGGACAAAGCAAATTTCCTTCAACATCTATGTCACTTTTATTTATTTTATGCTTAGGTAGTCCACGGGGGCTACCAGGTGCCCCCGGGCACCACGTTGGTGACCCCTGCTACATACAGTACAAGATGGATACAGTAGTAGAGTCATATATACTCTTCTTAAGGGCCAAACAGAAGAATAAAACCCTAAGAAAAAATTTCAATAACTTGACCGTGTAGTAGTAGTTTAAAAAAGGTTAAGACCACGAATTGTAGTTATAAGTCTCTTAGATGAAAGCAATAAAGGTTTTTAAATGACTTTGAAATGCAGTGAAGACTTGAAATGCAAAATAATGCATTGCTAGAAGCTAATTAGTGCTCGCGTTCCACTGATGTGGCAGAGTGGTGCAGTTTGTGGCGAGCAGTTGTCAAATTGTAATTTTCTCTTTCGTTCTCAATAACTGCACTGCTGTTCTCTCCGTGTGTCTGTGCGGCTGAGAGGCCACAGAGAAGGCTTTTACATCTGATATGTTGGTGGCAGAGGAGAGGATATGATGAAAATTATAATTTGCGGGGAGTTCAGGCTGTTTGTTGTCTGAGAAGGATATGACCGTCACTGTCTGATGCTTTCATCTACTCCTCGTCCTATCATGTAGTTTGAATGTTGCTGGGTGCTGTGCCCGAGCCGCTCGTCTTGTCGAGTCGACGCTCTGAACCGTGAATGTCTGACAGGGAAAATCGTGAAATTTCTGACACATCTGCAAGGAGCAGGTTTACCCAATTGAATGAACAAAGTACGTGATGCTAAAAGAAAAAAGAAAAAAGTCACCTCACGTTCGTGAAATCCGTCCCAGGAGCAACACTCATTGGATGGTGCTCACCAAATAAACAGCAATAACCACAGCACATTGTCTTTCTAAAAAAATGAGTTGCTGATGGAAATGTCTCCCTGTCTCCATCTCTTTTCAATCTGTTTCTGTACAGATGATATCATACTGTATGCACGCCTTTTGTTCATTGGAACACCTGCTCCCCGGTGCCACCCGCATTGTTGTTCAGCACAGCCATGGAGCATTTGTCCACAGTGTATTATAACTGCAGGGATAACTGCCAAGTGATTAATCGCTTAATAATTGCTGAGGCGATTCTATGTTTCTTTTGCCGCTGCGGTTCTGCTCTTTTTTTTTTTCTGTCGAGTCGACACTATTTAAATGGCAGTGACACAAATATGTTTTGCCATAAAACAAACCCCCGGAGGAGATAAAGCACTTGAAAATATGCATAAGAGTCCTAGAAGTGTGTAAAAAGAGTTCTGGAGACCTGGCCACGGTAGATAAATGACAGGAAACAAAGCACCACATACTCGGGTTCTTTACCAAAGGCTTTAATGCAGCTGTTAGCTGGTAGTTTGTTGTTTTAAGGCCCAGTTTTTAGATTTCATTGTGTCTCTCTGAAATCATCATCAAATGTATCCGACTTTAACAATAATGTTGTGAGCTTAGTTGCAGTGGAGGACAACAAGCATGTCAGATCAGGTCAATATTAACAATCTGACTTGAATAACCTTCAAAAATGATGACTGACTTCCCCTATCAGAGTGGTGTTTGTTTTGGTTTTTTTGGCCTGTTTCTCATATACAATTCCATTACGGGGCAGATGAGAACAACTGGCCTCGAGTTTCAAATGTGTGACATTCTGTTAAGTTTTCCCAAGAAATGAAAACATTCCCAAAGCAGTTGAATAAAGTGAGAGGAGACCGCTCCCATACTGCACACAGACCGTTCATCAAGATGCTGCTTGGTCTCACAGCGGTTTTATATGAATAGGATGTAACTGGACAAAGAGTTTAAGTACAGATTTGAACTTGAAAATGACCAGCCGCGCTACTGCGATCGGAAACACACTTAAAACTGAATGAAAGTGTCACGTGTCCTGTTGTACACATCTCTGTCACAAAAATATTGACACTGTTGTCCCGAAAGTGTATGCGCAGACGTCAGCGTGTACAGCATGGAAAATTAATATTTGCTGTTAATTCCACAAGAACATTAATACTGTAGCTGAATTTAGGTCTCCCTCTTAGCTTCCTTCTAGTCAACAGTGGATTAATAAAAATAACCCAAACATTTCTATTTTTTTTTTTATAATTACAATAGCCAAAAGCAAACGACCTTGCTCACATTTAAAGTCTTTTCATTTGGAGAGTCGGCGTCTAATGACAATTAGATAACCTTCAATGCCACCATCTAACTCTATCTTTATTCTGGTTTTAGTGTGGAGTTAGATTTCAAGCTGCAGGAGGACAAGCTCCAGCCCCTGATGAAGAGACTCTGTCCTCTGGACAGCCAACCATGTCCTGCCCTTCATTACTCCAATGAAGTATTCACATCCACCCCAAAACGCAAGTCCAAGACAGAATCCAAAAAGCATGCCCGCTGGAAACTCTGGTTCCTCTGAGTTTGAAGTCAAGGCTTCGGAAACAGCCTGGGAATGGAGCACATTTACACCCCTGTGTCAGAGGAACCAAACCACCACAGTGAGAAGGCGGGGATCCGCACTTTTGGATTGTAAGACAAAGAAACATTTTACATTCGGTCAAACACTTTTTCTGGAATTTGTGCTCAAGAGCATCGACAGGCACCTGCAGAACCTAGGTACGTTTTGGGGTATACTTTTCCCTTTTTATTTATTTATTTATTTACTTTGTTTAAACTTTTAAATTTATAATTACCGTATTTTCCAGACTATAAGTCGCTCCGGAGTATGAATCCCACCACCCAAAGGATGATAAAAAGTGTGACTTACAGGAGTAGCAGATACTGGTACATAAGCCTAGAGTGCCCTCTAGCGGCTGTCAGTGTGAAAATAACAAACGTGTGAAATTATATATTTCAATGTATAAGTCGCAAACCCAGCTAAAGGATGAAAAAAAAGTACGACTTATGGTCCGGAAAATACGGTACTCCCATTTACATTTTATACAACGCAATACACATTTTTGTTTCTTCCCTTAGAGATTTTTGCTTGTCAACAAGAGGAGGCGCCACGTGGAGGTTCTTTCATGAGTGAAGCAACCGTCTCTGAAGGGTCATCAGGCAAACATCAGACAAAGCACAAACGTTTGACTTTTGAAAGGAACACGTGCAAAAAGACCGAATCACAGTGCAGAACATGACACCGTGTCACTACTGTTCCTACAACCCGTGGTTCTCGAACTGCTCTGTCATCCTTATCTGTTCCCGTCCTCCTAACATCAGTTTGTGTGACTGACTGAACCTGTCCCTGCCTTAACCCCCGTCTCGGCCCTATCCTTAGGTTTCTTTCATCATCTCGGGATTTAGCACCCTGCCCTTAATCTTTTTTCTTTTTCTTTTATATTAAACGTGGAGATAAATTTGTAATCATTGATACGTGGGCCCCTCCTCTTGAAGCAGGTAGAGTCGAAAACACAGAAAAATGTCTTCTGGGTGGTACATTTTAACAAAATATCCAGTCAAATATTTTAACAACCTTTAACGCAGAGTATTTTTATGGCACTGTAAATATTTTTTACATATATACTGTATGTATACTCCAAAGTAGTCGAGCTGTTTTAAGGTTGCTCTTTAAGATCCATCCAGAGTCCAGAGTCTTGCCTTGTCTCTCGATCATTTATGCGTGACTGCAACGCTCTATTTTAGGGCCTTTGTTTCACATTCATTTTTATGACTTTTGCCCCATGCACTTACACTTGTTTTTCAAACACAGACATAAAAAAAAAAAAAAAAAATTTGTTTTTCAAACACAGACATAAAAAACAAAAAACAAAAAACGGCGTACCCACGTCAGCAAATCCCCACGAGCATCTGTGCACTGATCGTGCGAGCATAGAAGGGCTAAACACAGTGCTTCAGTATCATGGTAGCGATCTTTTGCTGCTGAGGTCACCTGTAGCCAGCAGCTTAGATTTAGAGCTAACGACTCACCAAATGCTAACAATGTAGCAGCGATTCTGATGCAACACTGAACTTGCACGTTAAAACAAAGCTCAAGCTAAGGTCTGAGTTAAAACTGTTTTTTTTTTGAGAAAAAAACAGTTTTAACTGTTTTTTTTTGTTTGTTTGTTTGGGTTTTTTTTTGTTTTTAACAGAAGCTTTTCATTTTCCCCACACCATGGAACTGTTCAACGTCCACAAAATGTGAGGAAGACACACGATGGCCTCCCTTTGCTGCGGTACACTGTAGATTACATAATTCAGGTCGCCAGGTTTCATGCAAGGATCTGTACCTTAAAAAAGTGCAATTTAGTCATAATGTGCAATATTATGCATTTTTCTACTGTTTCTACATCAATAAATCATTTCTAAACTCAAAGTGATTCGGTGTCCCATGTCTGTTGGGTTATTGTAAGCAGTGTGGCAACAGACAGCTACACCCACCATATAGTGATATCTACTCACTGTCATATACAGCAACTGTATTCTGGCCCTGGAATAATTTAACAATGTGTTTTTTTTTTTTTTACTCTTCTCTTCACTGACTGTGTTGTTATTCACATCCTTGGCGTCTACCTCTGAATCTCAGATAGCAGCAGCATCTTCCCCACCAGGGTGGATGACTGGTGGGTGATCATTTATCTGCCTCCCCGTCATGGTGTGCAGGCAGGTTTAGTAGCCTGTATCAACATTAGACATGTAGAACAGTCCTGCAGGTGGTGCTGAGCATGCATGTGAGAGCACCTTTGCATAATCGCAATTAGCATTTTCTTTAACGCAATTTACCCATAAGATATGAGCAACCCATTTAGAATCATAGACAAGTCATCATCCAACGACTTATCTATGATCTATTTATCCATCTACGATATATATATATATAACATTTTCCCCTTGTACCACTAGAGAGCGCTCGTGTACCACTGGTGGTACGCGTACCACAGTTTGAGAACCACTTATCTAGGTCAACGGAGTAGGTTTTTTTTGAAGACGTTTCACCTCTCATCCAACAGGATTCAACAGGATTCGACAGTTCTGACTGACCACTGGGAAATTCTGGTATTTAGCCTCCAGGGGGCTGCATACCTGTAACGAGGGTCACCAGGGTTTCTCGTCTCATTGTATAGAGACCACACTCTAGTACAGCAGGTGGTGGTACGCACCTCAAACTGTTGGTTCGTTATTTAACCAAGTGCCATTCAGGTGTTCAAACAGAACATGGGAAGAACTTCTTCCACAGACACAAACAGTTGTGTTTTTCCTCATTTTATTAATTTGGATTGATAATTTTAAACATTTTAAACAAATTAATTAATTTGGATCGATAATTTTAAACATTTTAAACAAATTAATTTAACATTTGCCTACCAGAACTGAAAATAACATGTTTTGTCACTTTAGGTAAATTCCCAGAGAATACCAGCTGACTTCAGGCACGTTTATGCTAAAACATGTTAGATTTCCTTCATTTGAACTGTGTCACTGTTTAACAAAAACAACTTCTTCCAATAATAATAGGGTTTGCAAACCTTTAAGTATCTTTGGTAATAAAATACATATTTATTACATTATTTCTGTGACATTTACCTACACAGACGAAAACAAACTAGCAACATGTTACAGTACGCATGTTTTACAGGTTACTAAATAGTGGCGACTGCTGCCCGTGACCCGGTAACGGATAAGCGGATGAAAATGGATGGATGGATGGATGGATATTCTGTACATACTGTCAATGCATAGCATGAGTAAAAGAATGTAATGTAAAAGAAGGGCTCACTAGTTCCCAGTGAAGTCGAGACTAGAAATCTCTTGGCCTATTCTCTCTAGCCTATTGTTGTGAGCAGCCGTATCTCACAGCCTTTACACATCATATTGAATGCTTTTTTCGGTAGCATCACGAACATTCTTGAGGAAAACAAGTGGATTGGTTCCGCCAGATCCTTTCTTTTGAGCAACACATGCACCACCGAGGAGGCAGCGCTGGTTAGCCGGCACAATTATATACTTGGCTACAGTATTGATGTGGTAGTTTCGGAAATCTACAAGAGCTGACACGCACCCGTTGTACACCCGGCGGAGGTCTGATCTGGGCCTGGAAAAAATGAAGTTGCGGAGCGATGGGCACGTGGAGAGAGCTTCGATCAGCTGCACGTGGTCAGGAGGCATATAATCCCTCATACTTTTCAGGTAGGCTCCTTGTTGAACAGCAAGAAAAGAAAGTGGATTTTTTTATGGACCTCTCATTTATAATATGCGTCTGATAGGGTTGAAAAGCAAAATGTTTTCCTACCAGCTTCATCTTCGTGTTGGATACAAAGCAGAGCATCAAAGCACTGAATGGTTGAACTCTGTGCTGCACTTAAGCCCGACAGACGGATGGGTTCATCACTCACACCTTCATACAGCAGACCCCTGGGTAGCAGTGGACTGTTCTTCCATCTGAAACATTTGGAAGCTCCAGATATGTAACTTTGGAAGAAGCAAGCCATACCACCTCGAAACCTAACTAGTGCTACTAGTTTCCCCTACAATTCATCAATATTTTTCTACAAACATAGAGTTTGACAAAAAAAAAACAGATTAAAAAAAGAGAGAAAAATGAACAGCATGAACATCATTGTACTGCATCAATAGAGAATGTCAATGGAACTCACCCATAGAAAAACATTCTCGTCGTTCCAAAAAACTCAGCAGTATCCACGTAATCTGGGAATTGCACGGTAATAAAACAGAGTTCATCCGTCTCACAATTTTATAAAAAAATTCCGTCTGAGCAAGGTGACGTTTAGACTCACGGTGCATGAGTGCAAATAGTTCCTTCATCTTTTTCAAGGAGTAAGTCACTTGAATGAGTCCTTTCTCGACCCCGTCGAGGTCGAACGTTTTCATTGCACGCATGACCATCAGAGCCCCCTGAGCGGACATGTGAGTTAAGAGTGTGTCTTGAAAAGAAAGACGAGCTGACAGGCTGATTATTCATGAAAACAGCTGGTACGAAAAATTGAATGTAATAGTAGACAGTTTACCATGATGCCTGGACCAGCGGCCCCCTCCACTAACAATGACACAATGAAAAACCATCTGCTGGTCTCGCCACCAGGGAAGGGGAATCTCAAATCCAGGTTCCTATATTGACAATGAACCATCATCAGGACACCAGCATCTTAAGTATCGATTTATATATTAAATATATAAACATATACATACCCAATGTCCATGTTTCTAAAATGAAAAAAAGGACTGTTGTTGAATATCATAAAATCAATTTATATCAGAATATAATCAGTTATACTCCCAGACCTTTAACAACCAAGCTACTGTATATGTTGAAAAAAAAAAAAAGGACTTGGATATTCATTTCATTAATATTATCGAGCTACTCACCCGGTGGGCTCCCTGAATTTCCAGTTGTACAAAACAACATCTGCATACGTTAAAATGGGTGGAACGCCAAGCCTGCGAGACACCAACCAGAAGGGCAAGGCTAGCGTTTTTGGAAGAACCTGTTTAAAAAAATAGATGCGGGGGCTCCACTTTCATTTTGTATCATCATTTCCGTCCGTTAAGTCAGACCTGTTTCACCTGTGTGTTTTACCTGAGCAGGAGTGTTTTTCTCTTGCCACACGTAGCCCATGGTGATTAACCCCAGCACAAGGTGAGCCAACCTCAGCTCCTCATAACTGGTGAGGAGATGCGGACTCAAGACTGGCATCTAGATTTGAGCAAAGGCCATTTTAATTTTCTACCTGGACGTCTTCAGTTTCCAGTGCAACCACACTCTCTGTCAAGAGGCTCTTCAACATACCCGATGAACCATGTCCCGTAGCTCACGTGACTCAATCAGCTGTGTCAGATTGTTTGCCAGGTCCAGCCATTTCTTGTAATAGTCCGGAAGGTCAGTCTAAATTCCGAGACAGGAACACAACAGAGACTGGACACTATAGAGAACACAGCGCCTGCTTTGCATAGTAGTGTTGGTCAGAAAGAATACTCCAATATTCTAAGAAGAAAAAATCTACAGAAGCATGACTCAACTATATTAAACTTGTTTAGGGGAAAGGAATACAACATATAAGCTTTATTAAAAATATTTTATTTTAAATAAAAAATATATCACATCAATATAATCACGTAAAAAACTTTATACTTTATATTATAAAAAATTAATTTAGGGCTAAAAAGGGTCCTCTCACCAGCAGGGTCAAGAGAGCATGTCAGTGACTTACAAGTTGTTGCTCTTGGACGAATCCAAACTCCTCAGAAATACCAAACGCATCAAGGTCAGCCTTTAGTGCGTCCATGTCGGTAGTCCTCAAAGTTCTGGTTAGTGATCAGAGCAGCAGCATCGGGAATATACAAACACAGAGGTCATTGTTTTTCCTTCTTTTCATAACCCTGCCTACTTTTTTTGTAATCCACTCACATATGCTGAAGTTTTCACCCTCAGAGTTAACCTAAGGGTGAAAACATTTCAGCATGTGTGTCTTGCAGAGAACAAATAATGTTGACGGGGAACGGAGCTCAGAGACTTACCAAGCTGCTGCAGGACAAAGTCTCGTATTCAGACGCAAAAGTCCTCAAATCAATCAAGAAGTGACCGCAGGTATAAATGCAACACAAGCTGGGGGTGGGAGGAGCTCAACTTGGACAAATAACAGTCAAATCTTTGTTGGACAAATAAATAATAATAATAATAATGGCCTAAAACAAACTGATGAATCGTTTAATTTCTAAATTATATTACCAATGTATTTTTCTTATTTGTGTGGGTTTTTTGTGTGGAGTTTTTTGTATTTTGTGAAGCAAAAAAACTGAAGTTCTAGTTACATATTATTATGAGTTTTAATTTTAAAACAGTCAAACAGTAAGGACCAGGTGTCGTCTTTGAGTGACAGCTGTGCTTCCAGGTTCTTTTTAGATATTACTGTTTTAATAGCCTCACGCGAGAGATGCTGAATGAAAGCAGGTGGTGCAGTGCAGTGCAGTGCAGTGCACCAGTGGTGAACGTTTGAGAGAGCTCCACAGTTGACGAATCCAAGAAAATGGTTTGCTGTGCACACAGGGAAACAAGCGTTTCCCTAACAGTTTGGTTTGTCCAGCTCTCAAATTGATTTCATTGCTAATTCTGGCGTTTGATTCGACCAATCTCTCTCACCAATGTTTGGTGAGCTACAGATTGCTGTTTATTTTAACCTTGGCAAAAAAGGGGGCAACTCCACAAAACACACATCTTGATTGATTTCCGTCATGATGTGTGTCCATCATGAAGCTCTCCTGTAATATACAATATTAAAATATCCATAGTAGCAAACCAAAAAAATAAAGACAGTTTTAAATCAATGATGCATGAATTGGTTATAAATCCACAATACAAATACGCAACAATTTGCCTTGGTTGAAATAAAAAAATGAATCACCCAGCAAGGTGTAAGTAGTAGCCTGCGTTATCTCAAAAAGTCAATGGTCGTCCCATGACACTGCACACCCTAGTACTGTAGGTGGCGGTATAGAATTTTTGTATTTTCTATTTCAGTTGGTAACAATGTTTGCATAGTTGTTACAATAAAGGACGTATTTGGTCATATTTTGGAGATCATTTTGTTTAAAAAATGTGTGAAAAAATCATATGGTCAACAAAAAAACGTGAATCGCATCATGAGCTGAGTGTACCGTTACATTACAATCAATAGGTCTTAAAAAATATTGAAGCATTGCATGACAACCGTAGGTCTGTTCCTCCAATGGATTATCCAGTAAAAATAGACCGACCCCAGAAGACATGTTCCATTAAGTATCTTTCGATTCCTCTCTTTGTCACTCAGTCATTGTGGAAGTGAGGTTGTGGTGTAATTGTAGGCCACAAGGCAGATGGACCATAAAACGCGACGTTTATGGCGTCACATTGCACTTTCGTCTTGCCAAGCCGCTGCTGGTGGGATCCACAAAAACGGTTAGAATCCATGAAGAGTCCCGTCACGGCCACAACGAACAATATGACACATTTTTATAATTTGAGCAATGGAACCTATTAACAGGGATCAATGATCTTATATGTCACTACAATGGCTGCTCAGCTGTGATGGTTTTGTTTCTAGAGCTGTCAAACAATTAGATACTTTAATCCAATCACATCTCTTTTTTTTTTTTACTAATAATGACCTTATTGTAGGTGCTACAGTACTTGACAGAACTTGGTCTAATGATTTTAAGAGTAACGTACAACATATGGGGAAGAGTCACTGAAACTCAGTTTGACCGTGTCAGTGGAGTATAGATCTGTCATGTGAGCGAGTGGACAGTTTGTAGGTGCTCAATTATACACACTAATACCTGGTGATGAGAGCTGGCAGCAGAGTAAGTGATAGCTGGGTGGAGAGGAACCCAGGCCCCCGCTGTAGTCATCGATGTATCGGTCAGTAATGCCGAACGTGTTGTTGATTTAAGAAAAGCAACTGTTTCTGCATAAGGAAGCCCACTGACTCTCATTAGCTCTAGGGCTAAAGTCATCAATGACGTTTCACAGTGATTTTTCCTTCAGATGTGCATCAGATACAGACAATGACAGAAACTGACAGAGAGTGGACACATTTGTGTGTGCGTACAAGAATATGAGTGCAAGTAGGCCTTATCTGGCCTAACAGTAACTCAGAAACGGAATATGTGCATACAATTTTCAAGGCCTTATAGGAACCGCAGAAAGGATAATGAGTAGAGTTCCCATCACTGGCTAGCACGCATAAGGTTAGGGTCAGGCTGGTTGTTTCAGTGTTTTTTCACAGACTACGTGAGTTTCAGCACAAGTAAGATGTTGCATAATAGCACAGAATATCATTTTGTCATAACAAAAACTGTATAAATGGCAAAGAAAGACATGTGGTTTGATTAATCCAAATGATGTCAAGAAAGAAGCGCAAAAGTATAACTTCAAATGTTGCCTCAGTGTTGGCAGAGTTTAGTCATTACTATGCACCTTAACGGTCTCTTGTAGAGCTTGTGTTGAACGTTGCGACCTTGTAAAGTTCAGGGTGCACTCGCACCATGGCCACACCAGGCCACCCAAGCACATTTGCCCCGGGATTCTAAGACTAGATCGAGTGCAACAGTTACACTCCGGTGCGCTGAGCACTTCCTTAAGTTTATTTTTCTGCTGCCTCTGCAAAGGTCTTTGTATGCCTGCAGCCAGATCGACAGTGAATCGCTGCCTCGCGGAGTCAATAAATCAACACATTGGTCAGATTTGCTGACGAATGTCGGGTGGGGTAGAGAACAACCGGCCCTCCACAAATGCATGCTGGGCATTGGGATTGTATTTGAAGCTCTAGGTGTTTCTTGAAACAAAAACTCTTTTTCACAGTGTGTTCAAATTACGAGCTTATTAACTGTGCCTTAGAGCAACGGCAAGCATATGGGCGGTGGAATTACTGGATATACAGTTCACAGGGCCCCCCTCATCTAACCATCAAAAACATAGATATAAACAGATATATTGATAATGTAAAATAATAATAATTATGAAAAAAATGTATATTATTGTCTTAAAAATGGGTTAAATAACCCAGCGGGGGACAGTAAGGGAAAAATGGAGCTCAGTTGAGCGCTCATAGCTCGATGTTTTCTTGTGTGTCCTTTGAGGAAAATCTTATTTATTTATATATGTATATATATATAGATAGATGGATAGATAGATAGATAGATAGGTTAACTTAAAGCCTGGTTGCATCTCGTTCAGATTAGCTTCAGGTGTATGGCAGCGCCTCATTCAGTGTTCATATTTGAGAGCTCACATGCTCATGAGTAGTGGCAAGGTGAAATATAACTCCTTGTTTTTTCACTGTTTTAGCTGACTAACTGGATGATTCGTCATATATCATCATCATATAATGCTACCTGGGGGCCTTCAGTGGAAGAATTATGAGTGTCTCTTTTTTTAATCTGCACCAGATGTAAACATGGTCTTCTTTTACGCACTTTTAATGTTCACCACCCAACAGGAAGATACGAGCTTCTTCTTCATAACAAACAATAGCAAAAATATATACACTAAAAAGTCAGCTTACACAGCTGTATGGAACATTATAAGTTCTTCAGTTGAACAAGTTATGTATATTATCTACAGTAGATACGTGTCAATAATTTCATAATCGGATTAACACATTATACAGTTCATCACCGTGTGATGGGTTGCAGGAATTCCTTTCTAAATGAGTCAGTGTTAAACAACTCCAATGAAAATGGTCAGGTTAAACCTTCCTAGGTCTTGTAAAAGTAAGGTAAATCTAAGTGAAAATCTAAGTGCCTTATGATTAACTAGGAGCAAAATTATTGTATCATAAAAATGAAGCTAAAGATATAAGTATCTTCCCTGTTGTTGAAGATATAGGGCAGACAACCTGGCAGCTGGGGAAGAAAACAACTCCATTTGATAGGTCCATGCCATCCGATCGGATTTGCGTGCACAACTCTGTTACGTCTAAAAACCTGGGTTGGGAAAAGATAGATGGTCAGACTTTGTGAACTGACGTCTTATGTCGTTTGTCCGGGTCAGCGTAGATCTGACCCAGAGCTCTGTAACTGCCTATTTTGCTGATTCTGTAAGTTAAAACACTTCTCCTCATCTGACTCACACAAAGAGAGATTTCAGCAGACTGAGCAGAACCCAACAACGCTCAGGTTAAACCTTCTTAGGTCTCAAAGGAGCTTTTAAATGTAAATGACCAAATTACAAAGATTTTCTGGATGAAGAACTTTAAAAAACGTTTCCATAGTTTCTCCTGCAGTTATGTTGAGCCCTAGCTGCCGTAAACGAATCATTTTCATTAATAATTTAATAAGTGGGGACCCACAGTGTTATGTTAGCCCAGAAACCTGAGAGCTAGTCGCATGTGTCCTGCTATATGAGCACAGGCTCAGGGGACAGTTCAGCAGAGGACGAGAGGAGACGGCTTCAGGAGGAGGCTCGTGGTTCTGCTGGAAGATCAGTTTTCCTAGCGTATGAGAATGACCACCTGCTTTTGCTGTCGTGGGCAGAGAAGATTAAACTCAACCCGCAGTGTGAGTGTGCAGGGTCATTTGTATTCAGTCTCCGGCTGCCAGCTTCTTGACCTGTGACAGTTGGAGGGAGTATTTTCTCAAGCTGAAGAAAAGAAAAAAACACCTGAAGATCTCAGAGATAACTACCAAGCTCTCTCTCTCTCTCTCTCTGTGGCCTCTACTCAAAGAAGTGGAATTTTTCTGCTCTAAAATGTAATCTTGATGACCGGGCAGGAGGGCTCTGTGAGGTAAGAAGTGTTCAGTTTACTTTTCCAGTACATGCAGGTTTT